TCTTGTGTTGTTATGGTTGAAGCTGAAGTATTCATTGACAGGTAAGTCATTGCAATGTATGATTTTATATAACATACTTAGATCGGACCGAAGACGATGTAGTTCAAGGTTTTCTAGGTCTAGAATTTCAAGTCTGGTGGCATAAGGTATTCTACAACGAGTAGAGAAGTGGAGAACTCTTCTTGTGAAATATTTCTGGACTTTCTCAACTGTGCCAATATCAGATACGTACCATGGGTTCCAGACTGATGAGCTGTATTCGAGTATTGGTCTAGCAAATGTTTTGTATGCTCTAGTTAGTAGTGTGATATTACCAGAGAAAAAGCTACGTAGGATTAGGTTAACAACTCTTAATGCCTTTTTTGGCTATGTAGTTATAGTGGGTAGCACTTAGATCATTAGAGATGATTATTCCAAGGTCCTTTACAGAGCTTGGATCATCAACAAGGTCTTGACTATTCAGCTTGTATTTTATTTTCTGATTTTTTTTTTGCCAATATGTAAGACAGAGCATTTATTTGTTGAGATTTGAAGTTGCCATTTGTTTGACCATTCTGATACATAGTGAAGATCTTTTTGAAGGGTAGCAGTATTATCTGTGGTATTGAACAGCTTTTCATCATCAGCAAAGAGAATGCAGTTGCTCTTAATATGATCACAGAGATAGCAGTATTCTAATATTTGAGGGGCTGCCCCAGAGAGGAAGGGGTCAAGCTATTCTCTAAAGCAGTGGTCGCCAACCAATGGGTTGGAAACCACTGGTGATCCACGAGAAAATTTTGGTGGTCCGCAGAGAAATGTCTCCCCCAAAGCACCCCCACAAAAGCAATTAATCCAGGCTGTGTGGGAACACAAGGCTGTGCCGCCCACATGGCTCACCCACCCGCTGGCCCCCACCCTTTGGCCGAGCGCAAACCTTACCTTGAGTAGAGCCATGCGAGCTGGAACTGGAAGGTAAGACCAATAGCAGGGGAGGGAAATCTGCCCCTGGGTGGCTTGCTGACATTGGTGGGAAAGTTGGTCCCATATTCCAGAGCTGCAGTAGTTACAGGACTGGCCCTTTGGTCATCCCGGAGCAGCTGCTC